AAGCAGTCCAATTATAGAAATAGTTCATCATACATTTAATTTTTATCGCATACTAGAGGAAGTACCCGCTGCAAGTTCTCTCTTACACAATTCTCGCTGCAAAATCCTGGTCTTACAGTTCCGGCTGCAAACTCTCTCTCATACAGTTGTCGCTGTGAAATCCCTCTGATACGGTTCCCGCTGCAAAATATTTATATTTCAAGCACTTTCCGTATTCGATCTCCTCGCTACTTTTCCTTATATATACAGAAGTGTGATTGATGGTTCGGTGACGTTACCTATCATAGAACCACCTGGGTAAAGTTTCAATCACGCTCTCTCCCCCGATGACTATGCCAATCCCCGTCGATCGTCCTTGGGACCTAAGGATGCAGCATGGAAAGTTGGTGATCATAGCTATTACAGAGACCGAATGCATAGCGCACAGAAGATGTGCGCTCAGACGGCCTTCGGCCACCTTCGCTAGCTATTTTTTTTAATTTTTTCAAAATACTGCAATCGTATTGGTCAGTTCTATAGATTGCCCGTAGCAAGTACCGGACTGCTGTAAATAGATAAAGCATGTGGAATGTTCTATTGGAGCGCTCGGACGGCCTTCGCTATCAATGTTTTTTTAACCTTTTGGAATGCTGTAATCCTACTGGTCAGTTTCATAGATTGCCTGTAACAAGCGTATGATTTATTTTTTTGCAACAAAGTAGACGTCGACCTTCCCCTGGTTGTAGACAACATTTCTGGAAAGTTTCATTGCATTTGATCGTACGGTCTCCAAATGCATAAAGAACAAACAAACAGACAGACATTCTGCTTTATATATATATATATTTATTGGCAACAATGCTCGCCTGGAGAGATCAAGCATCTAAAACAACTGCTAAAATAATCATATTGTCTGCCGTATTCGTGGAAATAGTTTGTCCTTTTTCTTTTTTTAAAATAAAATAAAATTTTTTACAATTATAGGTAATTTTTCTTTGGGTTTTTATTTCACAAATACTTCTATTTATAACACAACCCAGGACGATGATTCCTGAAGCAGTATTCCCAGAACTTCCGGTAAAAACCCTCAGGAAACTCACCGTTTCTGGCAGGAACCCTGCCGGAAAATGCCCGGAATTTCCTCCTGACATCAGTTCCGGACGGAACCGAGCGGATTTGGTCACCGGAATACTGCTTCCATTTTCCTATGAATTACCCGTGTTTTCCCACGGAAAGCCCAGGAAAATCACAGAATCCGGTCGTTTCCTACCGTACGTCTTTGACATGGGTTATTTCACAAATACTTCTATTTATAACACAAAGTCACCAAGATTATTTTTTATTTGGTTTACTATTGCATTAAGTCTGTACAAAAAATCCAATACAACTCAACCGCACATTCGTATGAACGACTTTCGAGTATAAAAAATTCTTACGTTTTAAATACTATACACATAAAAAGTTTGTTTTAGTTGCAATTTGCTCGTCCGATCATTACAGTATTATTCATAATACCGTTTTTAAGACATCACTATGATAGTAACTTATTCGAAAAGAAGGTATTATTTTTAACATGTTGGGTAAGTTACTTAAAAAATATATTTTGTAATATTTGAATTGAATATTTAGTGATCTTTGTTCTTCGCTATGGTTCTCCTGGTATGATATTTTACTTTTCCTTTGAAGCGAAAATAAAAGGTAAAAAAAGAAACACCAGCGATGCAGAAACTGGAGAAACAATTATACAACAACAACAAATGTCGTCTCAATAAACTTTTAACTTAAAAAAAAATATAAAATAAAACTTATTTATTTATTTATTTATTATTAAAGATTCGAATTAAAGCACAAGAAGAATTATTTCATTTTTAGTGATCATTATAATTTATCATGCACTATTTTATTGGATCGTATTATTGATTTATTAAATGATTCAAATAATCTGAATTATTAAAAAACTAAAGTTTTATTATATATTATGATATTTTAAAATTTTATTATAAATTATTTTTTCTTAGGGTTGTCTTTATGTTCTTCTTGGTAATCCAAAATTCTTTTTACCGTTAAAAAATTCTTAGACAATGATGGAGAAATTATGACCACTAATTGTTCGTTTAAATCAGACAAATAAAATAAGTATTCAAAAGCTAATTAAATCTATTAAACGACGAATTGAACTTGAATCTAAAAGTGGTTTCTATTCAATGTTTTTACATAGGACATATTTGGTGTATTTTAAATAAAACTTAAATTTCAGAATTCTTTTAGTTATTATCTTTCATTGATCAAGGTTTAAATTTTTAAAGGCAACACACAATAAATGGACCATTTATCCTCTAATTTTAATTAAATTTTATCTGATAAATTTATTATCATATGAGTGATATTTCTTATAATAATTAATAATAGTTGTATGCTATTTTCTATAATTTTACAAGAAACAAAAAGGAATATATCAAAGAAATACAACCATAAACGTTAATGAGTCAAATCTATTAAGTTTATATCAAAGAATAATTGATGTTATGCATGATTAGTAGCCAATTAAACGACTTTCAAAAAACTTAACTAAAAACCATCTACTTTTTGATTTATT